AAAACTTATTTTTAATGAGCTCGTGGTAGGTGGTGATGGATTTTTAAACACGAATTTGAGACGTAGTGGGTCTTCAAACTCAATGCTCTTAGAATCCACGAAAGCCTTTCGGCTGCAGATTCTTTTTTCCATAAGCTGTCATTAAATTGAGGATTTTTTCAAAACTTAAAAATTTTTGCAGGGTTTTGATCAGCCAAAAATGGACCCACGAAAACAGTGTCAGTGCAAAGTGATGCTACTTGATGGGTCCGATATAAATGTCATCGTTTCGGTATTTCCGTTGTTTTTTCTGCGTTTTTTTGTAATTGAACTACTGCAAAAAACCATATTGACGTGAGATTATTTTTTTTGTCCAATACATATGTGCTTGTGAGCACATCGGTTTGTATACATATATGTTCGCGTGCATATATAGGTGATGCAAAGTCCCGGTATACCCGTGGCATCATTACGGGATAGACGGTGCCGACTTGTAGGAAGTTAACAGTTACGTCTGTCTTGGACAAGAAGTGAATATGCGACGTAATCCCATCCGGCGAATGCCAGTTGTCGCAAATCCCATAGCATCGCAAGGCGTCGAACCAGAAGGGCCGTGGCTACCTCTTGAATACCGCTGTGGCGAAGGCAGTGAAATACGAATGCAAAACTTGGTCACTGACGAAAGCTGAAGAACGAACGCTGGCTGTGACGAAGAGAACGATAGGGCGAAGAATGTTTGTTTTATCTCCGCACGGCGGTATAAACAATCAGACTTTCCGTCAGATGTGCAACACTCAGAATATCATTATGGTCACGCGAAAAAGTAAAATCCAGTGGGCAAGATATGTTACCCGCCTCGCCGATAACTGATGAACGATACACATTAATGAGCGGTATTTCAAGATAGAAAGCGACATTCGGGTGAACCCTGGTGAAATTCAGTACTGCGCTAGGCTCGAGCATTCTAGTAATGTCATTAGCGAGGGAGTCTCACACAGAGAGTCCGAGCGATCTTGGTACTCTTGGAATGTATACAGGTATGTGTGTACGCATGTATAATTGTATATGTGTACGTACGTGTGTGTATGCGCACACATACGTGTGTATGTGAGTGAATATGCGTTTATTTCCAAGAACACAATGGTTTTTTTTCCAGGAAATTCTTGCTTTTTTTTTTCAAAAAATGTTGTCTTTCTGGATTTGAGCACTGTCATTTTAATGATGCAAAATTATTGTCAAATTGCATGCAAGGAACGCAGAACTTTTATCGCTTTTAAAATTCTTCAGAAAAATGCAGTCGGCCAAGAACTGTATGAACAGGTGTTCTATGCACTGGATCTGGATGAGCGCGATTACTTCGGGCTACAGTTCATGGATCATTATCATGTACAGGTTATATAGCTTGTGATTTACACATTTACTTCGAGCTTGTCGATTCTTTTTCCACATTTTTGTTGCTAAAGTTTGGGCCCAGGTTATGATGAACTAC